ATGGGGGTTCTGGCTTTCCCATCTTAGGGCAGACCACGCGTTCACCCCTGTGCTCTGGTGATCCCTAGGCTAGGATGTTTCCGTTGAGCAGGGCTGGCAGAAAGTCCTGCCCTCCCATGAGGGGTCCATCTCCAGTGGAGAAGTTGCTGCAGGTGGTGAGACTGATTGGCGAAAAAAACCAGGTGTAGGTAAGCAGCAGCATCATGTCATGTAGAACATAGGAAGTTCTACCTCAACATGAGGAGAAACTTCTTTACTGTGAGGGTGATGGAGCCCTGGCACAGGCAGGTTGTGGAGTCTCCTTCTCTGGAGACTTTCAAACCCACCTGGACGCGTTCCGGTGTGGCTGCCCTAGGGGATCCTGCTCTGATAGGGGGCTGGACTAGATGATCTCTAGAGGTCCCTTCCAACCCTGAGCATTCTATGATTCTATGATGCATAGTGCCTGACTCATATCTGATGTCCAAATGTTATGTTTAACCAGAGCTTTCCATTGCTTTCCTGCTGTAGGCCAGAATTATTTTCTTTAGGATTTAGGAAGCATATCTGAATAGACTCACCTCTTTGTTTTGGCCGTTACTGTGGTGGTCGTTGTGTGATGGGAGTGAACACGGCACCAGATTTCTTGTGACCCATGAATTCCACAAAATGACTGTTAGTATTGGAGCTAAAAACACGCCCAGAATATCCAGAATGTGTGGAGAGTAATGGCAAACGTGACAAAAGGTCACGTCAGAGCTCTGCTTTCTGGAGCAGTAGTTGGACGCCTCGCAATGTAACCTGAAGAGCCTGAAGTGGTTCTCGATCCTAAGCCGCATGTTTACACCATGGGAATGTTTCTCCTACATGTTCTAACCTCCTGATAAATGTTTATCCTCTCTTAGATTTGGGTTTTATTTATTTTGGAGTCAGCAGATTTGTGGCAGTCAGTTCAGACCACGGGACAGGTTGGAGCCCAGGCAATTGAGCACCCTAATTAACAGGAACGTGTGATTAAAAGTTGAGCAGATGTGGCTTGGGCAGGTGGTATTTCCTGAGTGCATTTAGGTTGCTGTGTGTACACACTCTGTGTGATGGATACAAATAAATACTGCTGTCTGTGACTGCGAAAAATACTTGTGCATATGCCGAGCAGTTGGTCTGTGCGAGTGCTGTGCGCTCGCCCGGCACTGCTGAAACCGCCACGTCTCGGCTCTTAATGGACTGAAACGAATTCTGAAATCCTGAACATATGTAAACATTTTTAAAACTCAGCCTGGACAATGTTTGCGGGTAGGAAAATAGACATATGCATGGAAGTCTATAAATATAATAACCCCATGTGATGTATTTTTGCATCGTTTTTTGATTATCTGCTACCAGCTACCGTTGGAAACAGCGTATTAGACAAGATAATGCTTTGATGTGATGTGGCTTTACAAAAAGTGGTGCCTGGTGAATTCACTGTGGCTCCCCAAAACCTGAAGGCAGCTATTCAGCTGAAAAATCATCCAATAAAAATTCAAAAATTATATTTGTTCTTATTTTTTACCTAAAATTCCAGTAATAACTTTATCAGCACTTTCAGTGAAGAGGAAGAAAATAAAGAGTAAAAATGTACAGTCAAAATTTGAGATTACGTATATTAGATTAACTTATAACTCTGCAAAAAATGAATTCCTCTTTAAATTTCTTTTGGTGGTAGGTGATTTCCTATTCTCATTGCAGTAGTCTCTACTTTTTAGAGAAGAAACCACACTTGCAGTTTATAATTGAGGGAAAACTTTTCCTTGTCAGTTTTTAAGATTAAATCTGTAGAATACCACTGCAGTTGGAGAATTGTTTGGGGTAGCAGTTTAACAGGGTCGTCTGATAAGGAATTATGTCATACAGCTATATTATTCCATCTTTTGATTGTTAGAGTGACTTATTGTAATTTTTCAGTATCTTTTGATCAGTATTTTGTAGTGTCCCGTAAACATTTTCTTGTCATTGTATCAAAGTGGGAAAACTTTACCATATAGAAGTGAAGCAGGGGATGCTTTCTGAATTTTAGGTACGATTTTATCTATTTGCTTCAGCTCAGGAGCCAAGTATTTTTGAGGTGGAGCAAAATACTCATGAAAATTTTATGTCTCGTTCTGGTGTACATTAGTTCAATATCTGGTCTATATTAGAAAGTAAAGGCAAGTAACTTGTGGAAATCTCTTTGAGAGAATCCAATAAAGGCACAATATTATTCGGAGTGTTATTGTTATATTTATTAACCTTGATTCTAACTTGAGACCAAATCTTAAGTCTGTGGAGGGTTCATTTCAATAAATTATGCAAATTTAACGTAACTGAGATGTGCTGATTACCTTTATGATTATTCCCATTGACTGAACCTGAGCGAGTAGCTGAATAAAGTATCCTTTTTAATGTGAGTAAGGGAATCAAAAATTTGGCTGACGTTCTTAAAGGCAGTACTGTAAATGGAAATTGGCAATCGCGTTGCTATTGATTCCTACCGTGTATGCAGCCGCTTGTGAAAGTGAGAAACATAATCATCCCCAGGGCCTGGTTCTTTCCACTGCTTAAATATTACTGCTCCGAGTCTCGGTGCCCTGGAAGTTTTAGGAAGCAAGTTAATTGACAATTTGTAGAGGAGGACTGCGAAGCGCATGTGAAGTGTTGGGATTTTTCCAGGACGAACTGCCAAAATTCACACTTCTCCGAGTTCTGTTGGGTTTAGGAAATAATATTTTTTCATGTTTTACTTGTTACCTAACCAGTATGCAACAAAAATCATGAGTTAAATTAGCTCTGAGTTGAAGTCCATGCAGTCAGCAGAATTATACCAAAAAAAGTGCAAGTCAGTGGCTGTAAGAAATCTGCCAAAAAAAACCCCCATCTCGCTGGTGATGTTCATAAGATTTATCAAAGTAGTCTAATATGTGCTGATTTATAGTAACATAATGTGTGCTTATAATTTGCAATTTGATTTTAACATGCTCTAGAGACATTATGGAGTAAATAGTGAGTGTGCTCATTTCTTTTAACTTAATCAGATACGTTGTCACAAAAGTTTCAAAGACTTTCCTATTTAATTATGAAGTGGAAAGTAACTTTACAACTAAGGGAACAATTTGCTTATTGTATCTTCTTTGTTTAATGCTTAATTCCTTTCATTTAAACTGAATACTTCTTGCTGCAATTTGCCATAACCTTATTGGCCTGAGATAAGTCTCTTCAATTATTTATTCTATTAATGTTTCTATCACCTAAGGGAAGTGCAGATATTCTGTTAATGATTGGGTTAATCAAACAACTTTCTGTATTCCTGCACTACCAGAGTTTATGTCATTACATTAGCAGGCACAGGAGATGAAATTGGAAACCTGTAATATACTACAGATTGGATTAACTCATCTGTTTTGTGTAGACTGCTTGAAGACTTATTTTAGATAATTTAAAAAGATTAAATCTGCAAGACAGTTATTCCTCATGTCAACGTAAATCCAGTGCTCTTGTAAGGACTCTGAGTTTTGAACACGAATAACCTTGCTGTTGCACCATGGTCTGGGTTACAACATATTTCTTTAAACTGAGAATACATATTTTTCTTAAATTGTTTGGATGCTGGAATACTTATTTCACCCATATAAGGTGATGATGGGCAGTAGAAGTTTGAATGTAGCGTGCCATTTTTGAGCTATTTCCTTGCTATAACTAGGTGTTACAACTTCACTTGTTTGCCTGCTCAAGGTTTCGACGTTACCTAGGCAGTGAATGGTTTGGGTTTATTTTTAAAGTCTGTTGAATCACAAGGTAGCTTTTTTGGGCTGGAGAAGGGAGTCTTTGTGGTTGCTATCTGTCATAAGCTTTCCTTGGCGGAGTTCCCCCTGGGGTTAGTGGAGGGCCCGATGGTAGCAGCGCCGGGAGCATCCTGCCTGCAGCATCGCGGCGGGGATCCGAGGAGCACAAGGGTGCCTGCAAAGCACTTGGTGGGATTCTCAAACACCTATTGCTTGCAAGAACGGTCTTAAAAAGACTGTGCATTATTCAGCTGTTGCTTCTGATGCGTGCAAGACAGCCAGGGTATTTTTTTAAGGTTTTAAGGCACCCTAAAGCATTTAAATATTACTGTCCTTTTTGCAAAGAGAAGGATGTGAGCAAGAATTCCAGGTAGTGTTGGTATCCACATGCTTGGAAATCAGTGACTCTGTGATCCTTAGTCTTGTCTCTCTCTCTTCCTTGCTTCAATTACATAAGTGCCTGCCTATGTAAGCAGAGAAAGCCTTTAGTTAATATTGAGTCTTTTGGCATTTGCTGGGGAGGAGGGTGTGCTTCGGTGCCATCACCATTGTCATCCTGCGGCCCGTCTGGTGGCAGGTGTTGAGCAGGGATACAAGCCCAGACCAACCCATCTGAAGTCTCAGTCAGCCTGTCTGGTAGATACTGCCAAAATAATTTCCAGGCTCGTGCTGTGTGCTTGCCAGGCTGTTAGCTCTGATGATTCTTCAGTGCAGGTAGGAAATCCGAGGAAAACTTCCTGATAGCTAGCACAATATTTGGGGGAACAGTTCCATTCCCTTCAGCAAATTTGCTGTACTTGATGAATTTAAGCCAAACATACAGTTACAACTAATTTTCAGCATCACGCCCTCCCTGAAGTTGCTGAAACGTTACTCTAGGTTGCCTTCTTCATATTAAGTGGTTGGTTATATTGATGTTATATCAGAAACTTGATCAGCACCACAGAGATGAATTTTGAAATAATTAATGCAATAGTTTCTATAGGATTCTTTGATTCAATTGGAAATGTTTCTTATAAATACATCTTCTTTCTTATTTTTGTTCCTCAAAATCAGTTGGTTTTTCTCTTGTAATTGGTAAGAAATTATTTGGGGGGGGAAAAAAAGGTGGTTTTTTTTAATGTTTGATGCTACAATATGAATAAATTTGTGGACTGATGCATGCTAAGGTACAAGTGTCCTGGTGAAAAACTAAAATTGTGTTTACTTGTGTATTTCTTCTAGAGATTTGTTACAGTTTCCTAGAGAAGATGATGTAGACATTGCAATGAAAATTCTAGTTCAGTGGACTTCCCAAGGTCTTGAAGATGTCCAGCTGGTAAATTATTCTGTTTTGCTTGACCTACCGGGCTCTTCTTCAAACACAGTAACTCTGAAAAACAGCGGTGAATGCTTTTATCCTAGTGGACAGCAATGCAACAGAGAGACCAAAACGCGTCATAACCAAGACCTCCTGTACTCGTATGCAGCTTACTCTGCCAAAGGAACTCTAGAGGTAACGTGTGTCTCCATCGTTTGTGGCAAAGTAGAGGTGAAAACCATCCGGTTTTGCTGAACTTGGCTGGCAAAGTACACATGCTGAAATCCTCAGTGTTAAAATAAACATATTTAGGTAAAATATGTGGCCAGTCTTGACTGCTACTTGAAAAATTGTCGGACTTTAAACATTTCATATGTTTTTGTTGGCTTTTTTTTTTTTAAAAAAATCCTGTCTGAGTTTATGAATTGGCATCTTTTGCTTGGCTGTAGGAAGCTGAAAGCTGTGTCCAGAGCTACATTTTATCCTTGGTGGTGTATCAGTGCTACTGGCTTGAGGGATGCCTGTAGGAAGGGTGCAATGAGGTTTTCTGCAGTGAGACCGGCAAGAGTACTGGGCTAATACCTGGAGCTCCTGAATTATGGTCATGGATCTCACATGCTTTCTTCTGTGGCAACTCAGTTGACGCATCTGCTCTGTTTCCTCGTGAAAACCCTGATTTGTAGTTTTATCTTACTGTAGCTTTTGTTAGGAAGTTTTGTCAGCGAAAAGATCCTGCCTATTGGGATTTGTTTCTTGCCAAGTGAAATAAGATCTTGAATTATCTTGGTTTATCCTCTTTACTGTCTTCACTATCTGCCTTCTTGTATTTGCTTTCAAAATATATTGGGGATGCACAAAGGGGTCATTATTTCTGTTTACATTCCTAGCTGAGATCGTATAAATCTCAATACATTTTTCTGAAATATAAACAGTGCAATTTTGCTGCTAACTGCATTCATGTTGTCTTTTTCCTTTTTAGAAAGAGGTTACATGTTACTGCAATGATGTGGGGATTCTTATATTGTGGTTTCTTTATTGTTTAAAAGATGTATTTGTTGTCCTGACTTAGAACACTAATAGATGATATAGGAACAGATTGTGAACGGCATTGTGTTTGGAGGATACCTCTTCCAAAATACCTTCATGCTTTATGAATATCTTAACATTTATAGCATGTCAGTGACTGAATTTCTAACAGTAAAGTAGAACTGTTCTGTGTTTTTTCTTTTGTTTTTTTTTTTTGATAGTGCTTGCCCATAATGTTTATTGGTAACATGTAATGTGGAAAACTTGCAATGAGTCAAAACGAAGAAAGTTGCATGATGGTAACTAACCCCTTTTATGGACTATTAATTAGGGGGCCGATTACCTCAGTGGTTTGAGCGCAGTGCTGGCAACAAGGACCAACACCGAGGTCGCGGGTTCGATTCCCGCTCGGTCCCCATGTGTTGCCTGGTCTAGTCGAGAGGTGGCGTCCCTGCCCAAAACAGGGAGATTGGACTAGGTGATCTCTAAGGTCCCTTCCAGCCTAGGCCATTCTATGATGATGATAATATACTTTTGCATTTTAGACTGTAGGAAAAAAGAAGGCTGGCAGTAAGTCAGATTCTTAAGCTTCTCATCCTGAAGTCCACAAGCTTCAGCTTTTCTTTTTGTTTAAAACATTGAAGCTTCTGAGTCCAAGGGATTTACTTCTGAGAGAGGGAATGAAGTTCACAGACAAAATCACAGAATGTCAGGGGTTGGAAGGAACCTTAAAAGATCATCTCGTCCAACCCCCCTCCCAAAGCAGGATCACCTACAGTAGGTCACACAGGAACGCGTCCAGGTGGGTTTTGAATGTCTCCAGAGTTCATTGAGAGAGAGAGACTTCTCTTCATCTCCTGTTTCTCTGTACGTTACATGCCTACTTTCCATAATGAGTCTCATCGTTGTTATCTCCATACAGCCTCCATGCTGGGGCTCTCTCAACTCAGCAATGTTGTATGTTGTTAGGAAGTGAAATGGAGTAAGCAAGGCTGGGTCCTAACCTGCATGATGCTTGCTTTAATTTTTCCTCAGGCAAGTAAAAAGTACTAATGAATGGGTTTGGCTTCTCACATTTATCACTTGTAAACTCAATATGTAATATTGTTTTCTCATTGTAACTTAATAAGAGTAACTGTAATGAGATAAAAGTACAGTTTGGCCTTTGAGATTTCATTTCATGAAAATCGATGTGTTGCTAAAAAATTAATCAGATTAAAGGAAATCCAATGTTCTGGGAAAAATCATCGATGACATTACCAGCAATGTATATACCACTTTCAGTTATATTGCAGGGCAGTTTTCTCTGCGAGTTCTGCAAAAACAAGGACCAAACAGACAGTGTTTTACTCACTAGGGCTGGACCTTGGCCTTAGCAAAACTTGAAGCTTGTGCTTGAGCCAAAGAATGACTCTCTTTGTGCACAGTTTTGCAGTCAGTTCATTGAGATACTTAGCACCCTCACAAAACTTCAGATGTTTTCTTTTATTCTTCAGAAAGTCTACTTGAAGTGTCCTTAGATCTAGAGTTTTATCTAAAAGGGAAAATTTCCCATTTTGTTTAGGCTACAGATAAGTTGCTAATGCTCTAACCCTCCTGACTTTCAATCCTGCACAATAAACTCTACTATGATAACTAATGGGAGTAGAAAAACTTTAAATGGGAAGAAGCAAGTGGTGATTGTTGCTGGGTTCAGCCATCCTGATTGCTCGCAGTGGAACTACAAGTCGCTTATTTTGAATATCCTGCAGTTGGTTGTGATTGCAAAATCATGAGAGTTTGCCTGTGAAAAGGTATTCTTGTAACAGCTACTCATAATCTGAATAATTTTCTTTCAAATATGACACATCCTTAGTAGAAAATTTCTATTGCGTGTCACATAATCAGGTTGAATTGCTAATACTACTTTGGTGCTGCTGCTTCATTGTATCTCATTTTTATATTTGGTTTGCTAGAAGTTCAAGCAAATAAAACCATTAGGTTATTGCAGTCTGGCTACCAGCAGAGCTACAGCTCTACTTTCATATCGACAGGATTATTTGTAGAATAGCAAGACTCATTTTCTTTGACCACCTGTCATGTCCATTCATCATATGGCCGTTGTTTATGAGCCATCCAATTTGTGTTTTCTGGTAACAGTCTAAATACCATTTGTGAGTAAAAATGTTAGCATTTGTGATCTGAAATCTACTTCAAAAACCTGCTTAGTGCCATTGTGATGGATGGTGCACTTTACTACTTCTCTATATTTCATCAGGCCCAGAAAAGGTGACACTGTTTACTCATCATGGTGACAGGCAGGGCAGCCTACAGTTCTGGAGAGGGCTGTCTAGTCGGTTTTGAAACAGATATTGCAGCAGTTATGTAAATAATATATATTGTAGACTAGGTCAGTTGAAGAAAAGAACGACATGTAAGATATACTTTTATTAAAACTTAAGTATCAGCCACCTTTTATAGAGCCTTAAACTTTTTGACTGCTTGAGGAAAGCACAAAAGCCACTCTGGACATATATAAAGGGAAATTACATTGCATCAAATTTATGTGTTAAATCAAAATAGGTTGTCAAGCAGTATCTAGCTCGGTCCCTGAGTGAGTGCAGTGCGGTGAATTCAAATGTGCTGCTCCCTGCCTTCACGGTGCGCGGTGATCTGCAAGCTGTGGCCGCGTGTGCTGTCACCGGTGGAGCGGTGGAGGGATGAGCTGCAGAGCCATCAGCGAGAGCCGTGGGGAGGCGTGTGTGAACCCCCAGAGATCCGGCGTCCTCCTTCCAGTTCCGTGTTGGTAGGCAGTGTCAGCGTGGGTGCGTGCTGTAGCCCATCTGTTAACGCACGCGGTGGGGATCCCCGAGCGCAGCAAAGCGTAAGTGAGGATCCGCCTGGGCTGGAGGCGCAGCAGAAGGCTGGGTGGCACCTGGGTCGTCAGGGTGGTTGGTGTAAGGCAGGCCCACTGAGTGCAGCGAGCTTCAGGAGCAAACGAGTCAGCTTTGGGGCTGCAGTGTCCGTCTGTTCTGTCTCCTGTTTCTTTAACAGCTGTAAAGAGAGAATCAGAGCAGATGTAATGGTTGGTGTGTTGGGACAGCATTCAAGGGCAGGCTGAGTAAAGCAAAATGAAGATTTTATTTGCTTTGTATTCTCTGATTATATATTTTTTTAAATTATGTTCGCATGACCTGAAATTTTCCCCACTTTCCTTTCACCTTAAATTTACTCACTCCTTGCTTTATGGAAGTGTTAAGGAACTTTTAGCAATCCCAGCTCTATTTTAATACTTCAAACAGAGATATTTACTGCCCTCTGTTATACATCATTGTCTCATGCTTCTCTGCCTCTTCAGGACAACTGGCTGCTAAATGCACCCTTTTGATTTCTTTGCTGGTTCTCTGTCCTTTTTGGTTTTGTTCCCCCCCCCCCTTCCTCATGGATGCTCTCAGCAAGTCTAGCAAGACATCACTTTTATTTTCTGGACCTCGTACACTGAAAGGATTATGTTGGTTCAGGAGCCAGGAGAGGATGCAAGAAAAGCACAAGTACTGACATGTTCTTGAAATGGGAATGCATGTGTGGGCAGGGATTTGATGGTTCCATGGACAGAAATGAACCATGCCCATCTCCAGGGCAGTTCTCCCAACGCATGACTCTGTCGTCTTCGTCGTCTGATCCCTCCTCCATCCCTGGTCCTGGCTGCTCAGACTTCTCTGCTCTGTCACCTCTCTTCCCTGCCATCATCCACATTCCCTGACTGATTCTACCCATTTCTCTCTTCGAAGTGTCTGTTGATTTTAGGCGTTTTTACTCCCAGCTCAGCCAGTGGTATCTCTGATTAGTTTCGGAAGGGCTGCAGGGAGCAGACAAGTGCATATGCCGACTGTTTGCCTCTGTCTGCAATATGCAGAAGAGATTCCCTGCATCTGTTGATAGCGTATCAGCCTGCTACGGTTCATTTGTTTTGGTGACATTTTCTCAGCTAAATGAGAACCCACTGCAGAGATTAATGCAACCTGAAGCAACACGAGAAGTACAAACCCATCTGTTAAGCTCACTCAGCGATCTTCCCACCATTCTTCAATCTTGCAAGATGGGAATAAGGGAAGCAGGACTCAGATTGCTGTCTGATCCTCTTTCGCAAGGAGAGGGGCTTGCTCACTTCTTACCGGGTACCCCATTTT